CCCCAGATGCTCCCTTACTGCACTAGGGACCCTCCCCAGTTCATGCCCTCCAAAATCCCTGTTGGACCAGGAACCCACCTGCTCCATATTTCAAATGCCTCAGCTTGAGCAGGGATCCTCCTTCCCCCAGTCACCTCGTGCTTGACCTGGGATTGTCCCCCTCCATACCCAAAAATATCCCATGCTGGATGCTTGATCCCACTCTCTCTTTTATCCTCTGGAATTTGGGGGCTTTCAGAGATTTCCAAGTGAGGGAACCCCGTGGTGGGGGAGCAGTCCAGAGAAGAGCTGTTACATTGCTCAGAGGTACCACAGCTCCTTTCCACAGAGGATTAAAGTATGTGGAGAGCAAGAACTGCTGGCCCAGGAGCCAGGGAGGGGACAGAAACTTGGCTGAGGATCCCGGAGAACAAAGCAAAAACAGGAAAATGCACAGACGAGCCTGGAAAGTCATGAAAACAAAGTTTAGGTTAAATACACAGAGGGTCTCTTATCTCCTTGGCAGGTTAAGAAAGGGCAGCGTTTGCCTGCAGAGCCTGTGGCAGAACCAGCTCCTGGTTACTCACAGGGAAGGCAAGAGGAGGGGATGGAGGTGTTCGGGGTGGACAGAAAGGGGCTCAGCCACCCCCGAATCTCAGCTCTGGGGGAGGTTTGCTCCAGGGCAGCAGCAGAAGGACACAGAGCCCCACGGGCAAGGGCAGCTGGGTGGGAAACCCTCATCACTTCCTGCTACTCTGGTCACTTTTTGGTCTCCTACACATCCTCCAAGCTCCTCAGCCTCTCTGATTTAGGGGTTTTTTTAACCTTTACTTCATAGAATCACAGAATTATAGGATGGTTTGGAAGGGACCTTAAAAGCCCATCCAGTTCCACCCCCTGCCATGGGCAGGGACACCTTCCACTATCCCAGGTTGCTCCAAACCCCATCCAAATCTGACCTTGGACACTTCCAGGGATCCAGGGGCAGCCACAGCTTCCCTGGGCACCCTGTGCCAATATTTATACCACCATGCTGGAGTATAAACCTCTAGAATTGAGACCTTGGGTGTGAGCTGAAAAATCAGGCGTGAGGACAGCAGAGAAAAAAAAAAAAAAAAGGAAAATGTAATATCCCAAATATCCCAGATAGCTTCTTGTTTATTGGAGTTGAAACCAATGCCCCTGTGGAAATGCAATAGATTTAAAAGCTTGTCTGGGGAAAAGCAATGATCATTTCCCACCAGCTGCTCACAGCTTCCTTTCGTGGGTGCAGCTCCCAAAAACGAGGCATTTTCTCCTTTGATGTCATGGAAGGAAATAACCTTCCGTGTTTGGATCCAGCTTTTGCTCAGCTCAGCCCTGCTAATGCCAATCAGGCTGTTGAGGGAATGGGAAGGGTGTGGGGAGGTTCAGCTTGACCCTTTAGCACCGTTTGCTTTATCTTTCACATTAAATTGCTGTCCCATTGTTCCATATCGCCCCTTGCATCTTAATTTCCCCATCAAGAGTCTTTTGTTCCCCTACAAAGCTTTGGAAGCAGATGAGAAAGGGAAACCACTTGCAATCATCTTTCCAGAGGGTACCTCCAGATCACAGGCAGCAGCACTTGGAAACGACTGGGAAAATGAAGCCCTGTCACGAAATCTCTGTTAATTTTTCTTGGAAATGCCTTGGTATTGCTTTGAAAGCTACTTGGGACTGTCCAGGATGGCAGAACTGGGATCCATTTCCCTCCCTGCTTTAAAATTCATGCAAGGCACAAACGAGTTGCTGAGATCTTCCTGCCATCATCACCAGGAGCTGAATAAAAATCACATTAAAGTTACTTTACACTCCTGCAGCAGCAGCAGCTGGCGGCCAGTGTCTTTAAGTGCTTTTTGAGCCCATGGGCCAAAGAAAAATCAGGATGCTGTCAAGTCAAGGAGCCTTCCTGTTAATTTAAGGTGGTTAGCTTTGCCAGTGGGATAGATTTTCCAACGTGCTCAGCTGTTTTATGAGCCTGGCCTCTTCTTTTGGTGTCTGAATTGAGGAGAAACTCCTGAGTGAAATAAATGGCCCAGTGGTTTTCTGGGATGCTGGCTCAGGCAGTCTCCATCACTGTCCAGAGGTCCTGGATGATGCCACCATACCGAGGCCAGGCTCCAAACAACCCCAGGAACATCCTCCAAACCTCCTGGATTTATAACAACCCTGAAAATACAACAAATCTGCTGTATTTTATCTTGGTGACCCAAAAAAGAAGTGTATTCCTTCCCTTCTGGCATGTTTCCTCTGGAAAATGCTGCCACAGCCTTAAACAGCTTTGCAGAAAGGGGGTAAAGAGAGAGGGGAGGATGCTCACAGAAGGGTAGGTTCTGGTTTCTGGAAGGAATTGCTTCCAGAGAGGGACTGGTGCATTTGGGAGGCTCAGCTCAGCACAGCGGGAAGCAGCACTTCCTCTGTTGTTCCAAAAGAAAAATGAAAAGCAAAACGAAATATTAAAAAAATTTTAAAAGCCGATTTTCCTCCAAATAGAGTCTCTTGGGTGGAAAGGACAGCGGGATGTGTGGATGTCCAGCTTCCTTGGATTTTTCGGCAGTTTCTCTTGCAGCTAGTGCCCTCTTGAGGAAACCTCTCCTCTATTCCATCTTTACTGGGCTTTTTCCCTCCACGAACGAAATGATCTCCCTGCGGGGAGCAGGAGCACAGCCAGGGGCTGCGATTCTGCCCTGCCCCAGCACAGCCATCGGTGCCGGGGACCAGCTCATGCCTTCCCACCAGGAAGGAGGATGGCATGGGAATGTGGGATGGCATCCCCGCAGGAGACGAACCCTTCCCAAATCAACGTGTTCCCGGTGGCAATCCGGGATGCTGTGACCTGAGCCCCGAGGGAAGGCTCCCCACCGGCACCATCACAAGCTGCCCCCCTCCTCGCCTCCCGAAAACACCAGATAATTGGGAATGGGAGCAAAAGGTGAGGACAGTGCTGCTCTCAGATGTCCGAATGTCAAAGCACAGAGCTGGCGGCAACAAAGGGCCGTGGGGATCGATGCGGCTGGCGGGGAAGGGAGCGGGATGAGAGGCTGCTTCCCGGGAAAAGCGATGCCTGAGCCGGCGGAGCAGCAGTGCCATCGCCTGGAGCCCTCCTCCAAGATGCTGATGCCTCGGGCGAATCCCAAAAGAGAACACAAACACGCGTTAGTTTTTCTTTCCACAGCCAAAACTTCTCCCAGAGCGCGGGAACTCCATGGTAAAGGGATCGGGGTTTGCGCCGCTCTTCCTTTTTTTCCACCCCAAAAGCGTGGGGAACGCGGGAGTTTTGCAGCTCTTGAGCACAGCTTGGGAAAACTCCCTGCTTGAAGGATAAATGGTTTGGGGAATGATTTTTAGGGCAGTGCTGGGGATGGAGGGTGGTGGGAAGTGCTGGTGTCAGGCGTTGTTCAAGGAATACAGGGCGGAGGATGATGGTGGAAAGCAAATCTGTTGTGTCAGAAAGCAGAGTTTTGCAGAAAAGGAGCCCCTCGGGTTGATTTTACCCTAAAAATATGAATTTACATGAGTAACAACAGAGATTTGGAGACAATCTTGCCATTTCCCTTTACTTCCTATTCCTCAAACTGGGATGCAAGCACATCCAAGCCATAAATGGGGCTCCTGAGCTCAATTCTGGGGAAAGGTGTGCAGGGCTGGGGGTCCTGGTGCTGGATGGGGCCTCACTGGGGATGGGGAGCCACGGAAAGGCAACGGCCGAGGGGCAGTTCCACCTCTAAAACAGCACCAGTGCTGTTAAAATGCTGTTTTAGCATATTGTGGGCTCTTTTCTAGGATATAAAATATCTGTGCTTTTATCTATCTATCTATTTATCTATCATCTATCTATCTATCTATCTATCTATCTATCTATCTATCTATCTCTATGTCTATATATCTATATATATATATAAGTAGAGATACAGATGCATCACTGTATATATACTGAATATTTATTGGGTATATATGGGAGCTGTGTCAGGGGAGGTTAGGCTGGATGTTGGGATAAAGGCTGAGCTCCAAACAGGTTCCCCAGGGAATGGTGACATTCCCAAGGCTGCCAGGGCCTAAGGAATGTTTAGACAAGGCAAAATCTGGGATTGCTGGGGTGTCTGTGCAGGTCCTGGGGTTGGACTTGACGATCCTTGTGAGTTAATTCAGGATATTCCATGGTCCTGTCTCCAGCAGCAAGCAGGGGGTTTTACAGGAAACAAAGATAAAGGAACCCACCTGTAAAAACTACTTCTAAATCCCACCATAAACAGGCACAGAGCTGGAAATGGCCTCACTGAGGATGGGGAGCCATGGAAAGGCGACGGCGAAGGGGTAGTTCCACCTCTAAAATAGCACCAGTGCTGTTAAAGTGCTGTTTTAGCATATTGTGGGCTCTTTCATAGGATATAAAATATCTGTGCTTGCTGCCAGGGCCTAAGGATTGTTTGGAGAAGGCAAAGGCTGGGATTGCTGGGGTATCTGTGCAGGTCCTGGGGTGGGACTTGATGATCCTTGTGGGTTAACTCAGGATATTCCATGGTCCTGTCGCCTGCAGCAAGCAGGGGATTTTACAGGAAACAACGATAAGGGAATCCACCTGTAAAAACTACTTCTAAACCCCACCAGAAACAGGCACAGAGCTGAAAATGCAATTCTATCCCTTGAGAACAGCCCTTACGTACATGTAACACGCAATAAAGGATGGAAGGCGCCCGTCTCACACATGGCAAATACGCCCGTCTCACACATGACGAATACGGAGAAAAAGCCGAATGTATTGCACGCCAAGCACACTCATTTCTTTTTATGACGCAGAAAATTTGCTTATTACACAGAAAACAAATGGGTTTTTAACCACCGCCGCCCTCAGGCGCCGCGCGCCGCCCTCAGTCCCTCACGGACAGTGACCACGCCCCCATGGCTCAGGCCACGCCCCCTCGGTCCTCCAGGAGCACAGAGAGGCGGGCGGAAGGCGCTGAGGGCACGGCGGAAGTGACATCAGGGCGCGGGTGCCTGCAGCGGGCGGCGCCGTGAGGGGAAGATGCCGGTGGCGGTGATGGCCGAGAGCTCCGGGAGCTTCAGGCGGCTCCTGGAGCAGTGCGAGACGCAGGAGCTGGAGGTGCCGCGGGGCGGGGCTGGGTCTGTTTGTGTGTCTGTGTCGGTGCGTGGGCCTGTGAGTGAGCGGGGCAGCGCGCAGTGTTTGAACTGGCCCCTTGGGCTCGCCACGGAGCCTCTCAGAAAGTCGCAGGCTGCAGATAAATGGCTGTTTCTCTCTCTCTATATATATATATTCTCTATTTCGGAGGGAGTACGAGGGAGGGGGACTTTGTGGGTTTCAGTCCTTCTTGTGGCTGAGAAAAGGAAAATATTGATCAGGGGAGTGGAGCCCTGAGCCAGGCTCGGGGAATTACCCTCAGACCGAGCTTTACTGTGGCAGCTTTCACTGGAAGCTCCCTCCGTGCTGCTTTACGTTCTCTTGTCCCTCGATAAAAGGCCTGAAAATTGGAAATCTTTGCCGCTTTCGAAATTGTACCGCTATTTTTAATTGCTCGTTTATTTCCTCCTTGTGAGCTCTACTGAAGCGTGGCAGGGGCCAAAGCTTAGCTTGAGGTTTTTGGGAGGGGCAGAGAGGCTTTGCTGTGGTGGAGTGGCCTGAGCTGAAGGTAAACGAAGTCAGGGGTTAATTAATAGGGGTTAATTTAATTTCACTTTCAACAGCTGCAGCTTTCATGAGCATAGGAAGTTGAAAGATGTAGGCTTATTTATTCCCCCCCAAAAAATTGCACAGGTCTGTTACGTGATGTGAAAAAAAAAATTAAAGTAAAAATAAAAATCAGTCGTCTTGGAGTGTTCAGTTTACATAAAACTTGGCTTCCTGCTGCGTTTTGTATCACAGCCCTCTTTAAAATCTGCAGCCCTGTAATGTGTGTTTGTTTTCAGGCCCCTGGAGGGATTGCCACACCCCTGGTGTATGGCCAGCTGCTGGCTCTGTACCTGCTGCACAATGACATGTAAGTGGCTTGTCCCAGCCTGGGACACTGGCTGTGTCACCAGCACACTGGGAAGGGGCTCTGTGATTAATAAAAATGCTGGTTTTGCAAAGAAATAATGACAGTGCTCCTGGGGGATCGTGTCTCTTTCACTCCTTGATCTGACAGGAAAGCTGTTCTTTCCTGTGGGGAAATTTGGGAATAAAGTTCCTTCGGTGGTGAAATTGGCTCCTCTGGGAAGTGTTGAACATTTCAGAGTTTTGTTTTGTAGCTGTTCAGGGCTGTGTTTGTTTTGGGGGTGTTTTGGATTTGTTTGTTTGTTTTGGGTTGGATTTGTTCCTTCTGTTTAAATTCCAGCAGGATAAGTCTGGCCTGTCCCTGTTCAAAATGAGGGATGCTGTTGGCTTGAAGGAGCTAAATCTGCAGGAATTCCTGGGAATTTGCCCTGGGGAGGTTATTTCATGTCCCTGTGTGTACTTAATGCACTGAACTTGAGGTTTTAGGGAGAAGTTGCTTTCCCAGAGTGGTGTTAAATGAGGCAATTCGTGAACTGTTGGTTTTGTTACAGCAGTCCAGGGTTGTGTGCTGGAGGGCAGCTCTGCTTTCCCACCTCAGTATCCAATATTCCTTCCTGGAAATGATATTTTTAAAGCACTGAGAGTGTTCATCACAGCATCTGGGCAAACCTTGTGGTGTCTCTTTGCAGCATTTGGTGACTGAGAAGTATTTTTAATCTTTAATCTTTTTATTTATTTATTTTAGGAATAATGCACGTTATCTCTGGAAAAGAATCCCTCCTGCTATCAAATCTGTAAGTACTGGGCCAAATTCACCTCAGAAACCTGCTGGTTTTGTTGCACTGCTATGTTCCCTGAAAACCTGGGGGCGGAAATGGGTTTATGCATAAGGATTTTCTTCTGGATTAACACTGGAGTTTGGTTTTTGGTGTTTTTTTTTTTTGGTCACAACAGGCAAATGCTGAACTCGGTGCAGTTTGGTCAGTGGGACAAAGAATCTGGCAGAGGGACTTCCCAGGGATCTACACAGCAATCAGTGCACATCAGTGGTCTGAGACCATCCAGCCAATCATGGAAGCACTCAGAGGTACAGGCTGAGCTTCTGTGGGAGCAGGGAATTGCCTGGAATTATTTGTGTCTGCTCCAGCAGAAACAAATTGTTCATCATGAAAAATCAGGCCAACTGCTGCCAAGGTTTTGTGGGTTTTACTAAAAGGTTTCCAGGTGTTGGGTGTAAATTAAAAACTCTACAAAACCTTGAAGAAACAACTAAAGTGGTCTTAGTAGGATTTTGTTTCTGTGTATTCTTTGACACTGGATTTTCATAAACCATGTGGTTTGTTCTGTAAGAGCAGAACAGACCATAAATCACCCAGTTTTATCAGACTTCTCACCAGAAAACTTGGCTTGGCATTTCAGAACCTTGTAGGAGTTACAAGGTGGTTTTTCTGTGAAACGTTTTCCATCCTGTGCAATGGTACCATGCCGACTCTTGCTCCTACAGGGCAATGCAGACTGCTGAAAAGGGCTGTTCTGCAAAACAAGTTCTCTGGAGCTTGAGAAACAGCTGCTTTTTAGATGGCACTAATTATTAACTAATTGCTGGCACATTGCCAGCAGAGAATGCCATCAGCTGCTGAGTTCCCTGTGCTGCTGCTGGAGCCCAGGATGCTGCAGGCTGCACTTGGAGGTTCATTGCAGGCCCTGAAGGGGTTTGCCTTGGCAGAGAACAAGCTGTTGTCTCTTGCTGCTGACTGTGAGCTGTGGGAGGGGAGGGGGAGCTCCTGAAGCGCTCCCTTGAAGGTTGGTAGTGATTTTCCAAAGGTGGTGGAATTGAGGAAATGTTCTCAGGTGTCCCAGCTCTGGAGATGAGTCTCTGGTGTCCTGTGTTCCTCTCTCCCTAGATGCAACCAGGAGACGAGCCTTTGGACTGGTTTCCCAGGCTTACACATCCATAGTTGCAGATGATTTTGCAGCCTTTGTTGGCCTCCCTGTAGAAGAAGCTGTGAAAGGTACTTGGCATTATTCCCTGAGTGAATATACTGATGATCATGGCATTTACATTTTATACTGATGATCGTGGCATTTACATTCTCTGAAAAAATTCCTTCTCCCGGGAAGCTGAAAGGCAGAGAAAGAGGCCTCAGAGAAAAGGAAAACAATTCTTCTCTCATTTGCTTCTCCTGTGCTGTGCTCACATGTGGAATGTGTTTGGAGATTGTTTACCCACAGGTGATTGTTCCATTGGATTCTGCTGGGAGTTGTTTTGGCTCTTTGGCCAGTCAGGGCCAAGCTGTGTCAGGACTCACAAGTTTTCATTATCTTTTTAGCATTCAGTTAATATCCTTTCTGTATCCTTCAGTATAGTATTCTTTAATATAATATAGTATCATAAATTAATAAATTAGCCTCCTGAGAACATGGAGTCAGATGCATCATTTCCTCCCATCATCAGGGTTGCCAGCATTTACAATAGATAATGAGCTCAGAGAGCTCTAAGTGATGATTAATAAAAATGTGTCTACAAATTCTGAGCCTCTTAAGTGACTGGGCAGTGATTAGAGGAAAAAAAATCTTGGTTCTGGATAATGGTTTGATTTTTTAAAAAATTATTTGCTGTTAATTATCACTCTTTATTCTCCCCTTCTGTATCTTACGAACGCCTTTCCAGGTGTGCTAGATCAGGGCTGGCAAGCAGACTTTGCAACTCGCATGGTGATGCCTAAAAAGCCAGGTAGGTGGAGCTGTTACTTCATGAAACATTCAGCATTTTCTAGGAAAGAGGTGTGAAGTTTGTAAGTACAGCTTTGCACAGGATTCTGTTAAATACTTTTTGGACACTCATGCTACACGTGAACACAGGGCATGTGTAAAATGTGAGGAAGTATAAAGTGGTGGGGTTGGTTTGGACTTACAGCAAGTAGTTTGGATTAAGCTAAATCCTCACATGAACTTGTTGAAACAAAAGCAGACAGGATGTGTTGGGATTGCTCCCTCTCCTCCTGCTGCTGGCTCTGCCTCTGTGCAAGAGAAACTGGATGACCTCAAATGGTCTTAATAAAGATGAGTAAAAGATATACCATCTTGAACCTGAGATTTCTTTTTCCTTCAGGAGAATTAGAACAGGGATTTAGTGAATCCTTGTGTTTTGAGGAGCTCCAGTTGTTGATATAATTTCCTTTGATTTAAAATCTAAATCTTCTCTTTTCTTCACTTTCATAGTGTTGATTACAGATTGTCTATTCCTGGAGACCATGGTCTGCAGAAATACTTGGCTTTTTTTTTTTTTTTTTTTTTTTTTTTCTAAATCTGTATCTGGCTGTGGCAAAAATAAATATTAAGATGTAAAAGCAGGATGAAACAACTGTTCTTAAACTGCTCTGTGCAGCTCTGGCAGAAGGAGCCAAATTACAGCATATCCAAAAGGGCAGGACCTGTTAGACTAAGAAATGGCACTGTTTGTATGGGCAGAGATTTTGGGTTTTCAGTGCCCATAGTAAACAGGTGCCAGGTGTGGAAATTTACCCCTAAGGGGTGCAAAGCCAACCAGAGCCCTGAGACTTGAGCAGGTGGGGTTTTTGTGACCTGGCTGCCAAATGTGCAGAGCCTAAAAAACTTGCAGTTGCTTACATGTGGTTTTTATTCCAAAAGTGAGTGCAAGAACTGCTATTCAGGCAAAAGAGACTCTTTTGAAGCAGCTAAGCCTCGGGTATTCTGCTTCTTAGTTATAAAGTCAAGTGTGATGAATAAACAGGTTTAATTTTAATTAGCTTTTGATCCATGTTTTGTTGCATAGAACTGTTTAAAACTGTTCCACTGAGCTAATTTTGTATGCTTTTCTCCAGGTGTGCTGGAAGCTTCCTTTAACAGATTTATTCCTTCATCAGGTATTTTCGTTTGTATATAATGGATTTAGCTCAACCTGCACAAACAGTGTCAGCACTGAGTGGGAATTGAGTCCTAGAGAGGTGAATGTTCTCACTGGCCCCCCCAAAATAAAAAACAGAAGCCCACCCCAATCAGGTGCTATGTAAATGTGCTTCTCCCTCTGTCTCCTCACTCCCTCATGTTTTAAGCAGTGCCTGAGATTCCTGAGGTTCCCACTTTCACAGCAGAGCTCCTGTGTGTTCTGCTGGTCTAGTCACCCACCAGATCTGTTTGTTTGGAGTCTCCAGGATGGCAGCTTGCAAGGAAAGGAGCAACCAGAGAGCTCCAAGAGCTTCCTTCTCAGGGCAGAATACTGTCAGCCCTCATTACTCAGACTGCAGTGTGTGCAGAGAAATTCTGGAGGCTGCTGACAAGTGGAACTTGTTGCAGCAGTTGTTGTGGTTAGTAACTCCTGGAGCACTGAATGGTGCAGATAACAGGAATTGTGTCAGCTGTGCAGGGAGGAGATACAGTTAAGATCTGTCCCCAGAAGGCTGTTGAAAGTCAGATGCATTTAATTTGTTTTCCCTTACTGTTGTGATGGATGGTACTGCTGGTGGATTTGCTTTCTAAATTTCATTAATGACCCATTTGTTTTTTCTTTGTAGAACCTGCTCCAGTCCCACCAATTCCCAATGAGCAGCAGTTGGCCAGATTGACTGACTATGTGGCTTTCCTGGAAAACTGATCACCTTGCTCCTGTGTTCAGAACAACTTGGGAATCCTGCATACTGACAGTTTTAGATCTAAGATTTATTTTATTCTGTTTTATTCTGTTAAATGTTGCAGCGTCCCCCACTCAAAAGTGTGAAGTATCCAGTGTATGTCAGCCCCACTCCTGTTTTGCCAAAGCCCTGCTAGCAGTAAAACAATCCTTTAACTCTTGCAATATTTATTCAGTAGGTACACAGCACACACAGCAGTATTACATAGTCTTTTTTTGTTTAATTGACTCAAAGCAGGACCGTTTTCAGGTGTGTTAGAAATGGAGAAGAAACAGTTCTCTGGTGAGTACTGCAGTGCTTATCACAGGTCTGTTGCATGTTGAACTAGAGGACAGAGAGTGGAAGACTGCCCAGCCTGTATGTACAGAGAAAAAAATATTTTGATGAAAATGAAAGAAAACAATTTTGCAGTAACTCTCTTGCAAATATTTTTGTGGCATACTTAAAATTGATTTTTTTTTTTCTTGTTCTTCCTAGATTGTTAAATCTACTTCTTGTTCTGATGTGAGAAATTTCACATCAGGCATATTTTTACAGCAGAATATTTGTTTAACAAAGACAAATCTACACTTTGAGGAAGTATTTTGACTTTTGAAAGGTTTTATTTGAGTGACTTAGGACACCAGATGTTTTCCTGGGTAACCCTACACCTTGAGATCTATCATGTCTTGCTCCCTTTCAGTACGCTGGGCCAGGATCTGCAAGAAATAACAATTCTTACCTGTCTTTCAGCTTTCTGGGTTACTTTTGCAGTGACTGGAGAGGAGTTTCAAGGTTAGAGCAGGAGCAGAGTCCAGCTGGGAGGGGATGATGCACTGTGCTGCAGCGTCAGTTTGAAGAGCAATTCTCTGTCAGAGCGATGCTCTGTTAATCTTGGAGCTGAGAGTGGGTTTTGGCAGCAAACACGAATTCTCTTGCCGTTTGTGTTACGTTGGTGAAAAGGCTGTGGAGGAAGAGTGGAGCTTTAAAAGGCAGTGCATGTCTCCATTTACTTCCCCCTCCTTTCTGAAATCCTATCCAGAGGTTCCATGGAAGCTGGCGAGTGTGCCCTTGTGTTGTGATTGTTTTTCCAGTGTGCACTGCCTACTGTACATTCTCTTGGTGAGGGGGTGTTAGCAGGGAGGAATTACAAACTCTGCTCTTGCTGCCTTGAGAGCTCCCTTGATATGTAAACACTTTCTCAAAATGATTATTTATTTGAAACCCACCTAAGACTTGGATTGCTAAATTTTTCTTCAGTGATATTAAAGAACATGTTTACACTGACCTTGTGCACTTAAGTTTTTAAATTTTCTGCAGAATAAAGGTCTGGATTGGTGAGTTTTTAAAATTAATTCTTACTGGCCTAATTTGGAGAGGGCTAGTTAAAGATTACTGCAATATTTTATGCCTCCATAGCTTTGTGTGCAGCAATTGTATGGTGGTGTATTAAAAAACACTGGCACCCCTCAGATGTCTTAAAATATTCCTTGGTGTAAAGTGTTTGAACAGCTCAGTGAAAATTTCCCTTCTGTGTATGTATTGTACCTGTCTGCACTTGTTGGTAGCACACAACCCTGCTTGAGGAAATGAAAGTTAGACATAATTAAAGGATTATTAGGTACTCAGTGAATGGTAGTAGGAGAGGAGCAATGTGGACACTGGCAGTCTGTGTCTGTCTCAAATCTAGTATCAAATTATGTCAAATACAGTAAGATTGACCCTGTCCTGTTCTGACAAGTTGATAACTGATTTCTGGTCTGCTGTAAATTTTAAGGTGTATTTTAGCTTTGGGTAAGGCATTAACTTATAACGTGCCTTGAATACTGTGTTCCCAGACACACTTTTTGCCTTGTGCTACTTTGGAATCCAAGCTATTTCACCTGGATTTCATCCTCATTGCCTTTATCCTGGTTTTTGGTTCACAAATACCTTACTTCAGATGAGCAGCTTTGTGCTTCCCTGTCCAGAGCCCTACCTTGGGAAACACTGTGTGAAATATTTCCTGAAGTGACATCTTCAGGCATTTGAATCCTCACCTGGCCTGCACTCATAGGAAGTGCACTCCCTATTCTTCTGCACTAAGAGGAAGTATTTTTGTGCTTGTATTTGCTGTTTTAATTGAAGCAATTGGTGTGGGTTTTGGAGTTCTTCCAAGTACAGTGCTGAGTGGGAGTACCTTTGAGTTAAGAAACCATTAGGAATTCAGTTGGGAGCAAAGGTTTGGGAAGGATTTGGAAAAAAGGAACTCAATTTCAGTTTTCCATTTCATCTGCATCCCACACTTAATGGAACATAGTTTCTTGGCATTTTATTATCCTCTCCTATATGGATCAGCAGTGCTCATTTACCCACAGTTCCAGTCTCTGTAAGGAAAGCTCCTTGAGCTCCAAGGTGGTTGAACCAGGAGAAACAGGGTGGGGAAGCAGAAGAGCTGGGTATCCCTCCCTGCTGAAGATCCACATGGAAATCTGTGGGCTTTAATGAGAAATCCTGACAAGCTTTCCAGTATTTCATTGGAGCTGCCAGTAATGCAGTGAAGAAAATGAAAGCAGAATGTGCATGTACAAGAGAAGTCTCAGCAGGCTTTGCAGGAGAGCGGTCTGGATGTGCTCTGTGTTTCAGCCTGGGCTATGCACAAGACAGTAGGGGACATCTGGAAGGAGTCCTTGGGTGAGTGGTTGGTTCTCCCTGCAGGAGTTGGCTGGACTGTCACTCAGACACCACTCTGGTGTGTTCTTCTCCTAGGAAGGACTCTCTGGGCTGGCTGCCGTGGCAAAAAAAGCCAAACAATCCCAAACAAACCCAAAAGACAAGCTTTTCTGTTTAATGTCAAACAAATTTTTGTAATTGACACTCAACAGACCATGTGAAGGCAAATGAGTTACTGTTTGGAGATGGTAAGTAGATTTCCAAATATTTTACCTTCTCAGGTCATGCCAATTGACTTGAGAAGTTTGTAACTTTATTTTTGTTTGTAACTACTTGAACAAAGGGAAGTAATGTGCATTCCTGGTTTCCTGAATTTAGGGTTATTAAATGCTGGATTCTTCTGTGCCTTCACAGCAAAGAACCTCAGGTTTGGAATGGCCAGGCAGTCTCGCACAACTGGGTGTAAATAAAGTCAGAGAACAGGTAAAGCTTTAGGAATCCAGATGCTCCAGATCAATTCCAAAGCAGGAAATGTGGATATCTCTTGAATGTGCTCTCATGTAATCAAAGTATAAGACTGGGAAGGAAGGGAGATTTTGAGCAGTAGGAACCCAATTTGGTTCTGCCATGCGAGTCTCGTTACACAAGGATAAATAATAGAAACAGTGCTGAATTGTGACCAGCGTCTTACTTTGTGTTGTAACAGCCCCTCAAAGCTGAGGTTGGTGTAAAAATGTGCAATGAGAATCCACATGATGTGACAAGGCTGGTAGATCAGTGACTCTACTGAGACCCAACTTTGGCCTCTGATCCACAAGGAAGGACACACTCAGGTCTCAGGTGTTTGAGAGCTGATGGATATTTGAGGTATGGAACATGTTCTATTGCTTTGTCTTTTGAAGCAGCATTGAGCCCTGTGTCAGGTAGCACATACCAGCTCTGAGAGCTATCCTGAGCTTTACAAAGTGAGAAGGATGATGATGACACCACACTGTGCTTTCCTATGCTAATTGGGATCTATGTTTAGACTGAGTTTAAGAATTAACACATGGGACTTAAGTACCACACGCATGGAAAGTCTCACTCTGTAAGTCAAACCTGCGGCAAAACAAAGGGAACCATATTCAGTTCAAACATTTTACTGGGTTCCAACTTGGTGTGTGTTACACTTTGAGCCTGGCACTGCAGCTGATACAAGGTAAATTAATTACTCAGCCTGCCTTGTCCTTGAAAGAGTTAATACTTGGAAACAACTTGACGCTTTTAGTATTTATACTTTCAAAAATTACTTGGCTGCATAAGTATTAATTGCTCCCAGATATTTAATGCTGTTTCTGTGGTAAATCACTACAGCAAATGGGTTCAGCCTTGATCTGATGGGTCAGCAGTGCTGAAGAAGTAGCAGATCCTGAGTAAAAGTAGGGACTCCAGTGGCTGAGGTTCAGGGGTGCAGGGAAGCTCTTTAGTGTCCCCTGAGGCGATGCCCAGCTCACAAGCTCAGGCTTTGCTGCTAGAAGATCCTTCTTCACTCTTGCTGGAGGCCATTGCCTACCAATGCATGGCCTTCCATTGTTTCTGGATCAAGTCTGGTGGACCTGTGGGCTACAAGTCTCCCCCGTGCGCATCTGACAGCAGAAAAGAGCAGGACATGGCTGCTCCTTCAGGGGGCTGGCACCATCATCAGAGACACAGAACAGCTTCTCCTCCCAGAGTTATCCCTATCCTCTGCACTTCCCCACGTGTCTGCCTCGATGTTCACTGCGGAATTTCCCTATTTCTGACCATCCATTGCCATGCTCAGCAGGAACTGGCTATGTTTGGACATGACCTGCCAAAGCCAGACACAGAGCAACTGGAGCCTAGAATATCAGAGGCTGGGCTGATCTTTTTTTCCAGAAAGCAAGAAGAACAGTTGAAAGAGCACAAGGAAACTTAACAATGTCTCTACAGGACACGAAAATCAGTGTTGCCCAGCCACATGTGGTGGTAGAAAGTTTACATCAGTGGGGACTCTGCCACAGCTGCTGCTGTCAGCGCTGCCCAGGCCCCAGGGCTCAGAGCAGCATTCGTGCCTGGGCCCACACGTTCCCTGTGCGTGTCACACTGGCGGGTTTAGGATGGCCATGGGCCGGGACGTGTCCCAAGGAGGCCGTGCCAGCTTCCCTGGATGGCCCCGGGCCCTTCCTGGCGCAGCTGCGTCGGCAGCCCTGGGGGCTCCTTCTGCTGCCCTGAGCCCGCAGAGCAGGGCAGCGTTTGCTGATGCTCTGAGCCCTTCCTAAAGATCCTGTGGGGCTGCCTTAGACACCTGGGGCCAGGCATTCCTTCCAGCCTGGGCCACTTTGGCTGGGCTGGGGGCAGGCGGCAGTGTGTGCAAGGGCCCTGGGTGGCACGCTGCAGCACGGTCACCGTGCCATGGAATGGAACTGCGTGTCGAAGGGCCCTTTGTGACACGTGGTGACATAGGAGCTGGCTGTGACAAGAGCAGGCCACAGTGCTCGGAGCACGCGACGGGACAGGACAAGACAGAGCGGTGCCGTGAGGAGCCCCCGCACAGTGCGCTCGTTCTTGTCCCACCCGGAGCTTTTCCGAGGCGTTGTTCCTGAAGCTGAGCTCATGGGAAGACTGCAAGCTTTGGTAGCCCGTGGTCTTCCTGAGGCCAGACTCTGGAATGGCAGGCACATTCCTTAACATCTTCAAAGTCTTCAGACAGAAAACAAAGAGAAGCCCTGAAGTTACCACAGCACAACAGCTGGAAAAACCAGAGCAGATCCAGACACTGAAGGATGGTGAGTGGCAGAGCTCGGCCACAGGGCTGATGGCTGCAGCCAGCTTGGCCCCATCCCATCCCATCCCCTGGGGACATGCCCACGGACAGGATAGAACAGGGGCTGGGCAGACACCCTGCAGTGGCCGTGCTCCATCCCCTGGGCGATCCTGGGGCTCTCCCTGCCTGGGGAGCACAGGGCTGGGCTGTGTTCTCCGGCCTCTCCTGCAGCCCCTCAGCTCTGGCTGTGCTCGCTCTTTGCCAGGTGCAGCCCTGGACAAGACACAAGAGCAGGAACCCGGCCCTGGCCGCTTCCACCGAACCCTGAAGGTACCTGCAGCCACCCCCACCTGGGCTGGGCCTGCTGTCCCTGCTCAGCCGAGCACCACACTTGGAGCATGCCATGCAACGTCCCTGCCTTCCCTGTCCTTTGTTCTGCTGCAGAGGTTCCGGAAATTCCTGCACATTTGGCGTAGAAACTCCAGAACCAAAGCAGCTGAGGTCCCAGCCCAGCCTGACTCCACACTGACCAAGTTCCAGGTAAAGCCTCACGCCAGCCCTGAATGGACAGCACACTCAGGAAATAATGCAATGAATTATCAAAGAATGAAGGCTGTTCACATGGCAATGACTGAGAGCATGGCCATCAGAAACACTGACAGCAGAATGACTCAGGGCATCACAAACACTGGCACCAGGCCTGTTCCCACTGCGATTTGTGCTCCTACTATGGATTTTTTTGAGGACAGTGCTGTTCCTTCTCAGCAGCAGGTAAGCAGCCTGGGGCCAGGCCTGGAGGCCTGCCAGGACCGTGTGTCCCCTCAAGCCATGGTCACTCGGCCCCCTCAGCCTTTGAGTCCAGCACAGTGTGGCAGGAAGGGAAACACTTCTTGGGGGAAGCTGGGCAAGTTGCTGCCTTGGACAGCACTCAAAATCTCCCCCATGCCTCCTCCAGGTGCCAGCCATTGTAAGGAACATTCACCAGAGGCTGGTGTCCCATGGCACTGTGGATGCCAGGCTGCAAAGTGACATTGTGAAGCTGGCTGAAAAGCACCCTGTGGACGTGGTGCTGACCCTCCTGCGCTGTGCCCCAACGTGTGACAGGTATGGGGCCCACGTGCCTGCACAGCTCAGGGCTCACCAGCCTTTAGGGCCCACTGCCCTGCACAGCCTGTGCTATGGGCTCTGCCAGACAGGCAGAGAGGTCCAGCACCCTGGGGCCCCTCTGTTTCCCGAGCCTGCTGCCAATGCTCCCTCCCTGCCCCTCAGGGCACCGGGGCTCTGTCACCTGGGCCCCCAGAGCTGCACAGGGCATGGTACTGGGACTGAGATGCCCCTGACACAGAGCTCTGATCCCACAGAGCTGTTACAATGATATGGAGAACCATTGGCTCGTCACAAGTAACAATGGAGAAAGTGCTGCCAACACTGGTCCGGGTGATGGAGGATTGGCCACTGCACAGCACATGCACCTCTGATAGGGATGACACAAATGTTTCTGCCCTGGCTGTGAGTTTCTGGAACTGGGCTCTGCTTGCCCCTTGGTCACCTCCCCAGCAGCTCTCCATCCTCTCCATGCCTCAGGCGCTGGGCTGAACTCTGGGCTAGGGGCAGGCTCAGGGGGCACCAGGCCCACTGCTCCTCCTGCATCTGCCCTTGGGCCCTGCCCCATGGACACCTCGGCACTGAGCGCTGTCTTGGGCTGCTTCTTTTGCAGGCAACTCTGGTGATCTGGGTGATTGTCCAGGTGCCTCAGTACCATGAGGCAACGATTCATTCTTTCTACCCTCTGTTTGTGGCTCTGCTCTTCCATGTTGCCATCACCACACAGCAGATGCCACCAGAGGGAGTCGATACCTTCTGGAGAGCATGCCAGGAGGAGCACCACCTTCCCAGCAAGCTTAACAGGTCCCAGTCCTCCTGGCCTTCCCATGCTCTTGTGGCCAGGGCCAGTGCTCCCAGTGTGACCTGGGCTTTGCTCTGCACACAGGTTTGCAGTGCAGGCCATGAAGGCTCTGCTCTACCTACTGCGCTGTGACAAAGAGGTGATGTCTGTGGAGCGCAAGTGTGGCTGGGACACGCTGCTGTGTGCTCACACCCAGCACTATGCCATGGGTCTGCTGGCCAGGTGAGACCCCCTGCTCCCCACAGCCCCTGGAATTTGTGCCTGTTACCCTGTGCCCCACTCAGTCCCTGTGGTCATGGGCGAGAGAGCCTCGTCACTGAGGGACGGCCAAGGAGACTGGAAAAGGCTGGGAGAGGAGGGTGCCCAGAAGGGGCCACCTCCCAGAGCACCCACATGCCCTCCAGGGATGCTGGGGAAAGACCAGACCTCTGTGAGTCAGTCCTGGGAGAGGTTTGCCCCCCCACCTCAGAGTCTTGGTGCCTTTTTCCCCCTGCCAGGGAGATGCATTATGCCTTGATCCCCCTGTGTTCCCATGTTGCATATTGCCTTCTCCTGCTGCTCAGCAGTGAAAAGCCAAGGTGGGATCTGCCCTTGCTGGCATCCCTTGTGGAGGTGAGCCTCAAGGCCAGCACTGCCTGGCTGAGCTGCCTCCCAGCTCTCTGCCCTCTCATAGGCACAGCTGCCAGGACGGTGCCCGTGCCCTGTGCTGCTGCCTGGGCCCAGCCCTGTGTGCTTCTGAGCTCCTGCTGGCCAGCTCCCCTGTCACCGCCCTGTGCCTTTCAGGTCCTCCAGTGCCTGGACTTGAGGAAATGTGCTCTCACTGTCATGAAGATCATGTCAAGTTGCCTGCAGAGCAAGTGCAGGGAGAGGTGTCGCCTGGCACTCGGAGGCCTCGTGGTGCTCAGCAAGGATCCCTCGATGGTGAGAAGGGGGCAGTGGCTGAAGCTGCGCTGTGGAAAGCAGCCCCTTGGGCTGGCAGGGCTTCAGGAGCTGAGGCAGCTGCTCTTAGCTCTCCTGCCTCACCTGCCCCAGTGCTTTGGGTCAGGCCTTTGGCCTGTGGGCCCTGCAGTCGCAGGGTGGGCTTGCAGTGCCAGGGCGGTGGTGGCGGTGCAGGCGTCCATGGCTTCCCAGCGCTGCCTTGTGTTCCACACAGGCCAAACCTCTACGCAGCGTGTCTCGAAGCCTTCTGAAGCTTCTGGGTGATGCAGATGGAGAGGTGGTCAGCATGTCCCTCTCTCTGTTCAAGAAGATGCTCCAGAAAAAACATCTCCTGATATCTAGCATTTCTGCCCCAAAGCTGGCTGAGGCACTCCTGCCACTCTTTGACAATGTAAGGCTCTGTGTCCCCAGCCATAGGCACTTGCTGCTGACCAGAAATTTTGTGCTCTCTGGATTTTCAGCTGTTTGCCCAGGAGTACAGGATATTTGATGCTTAAGTATTTTCCTCCTCCTTTCCTCCAGGACAACAGCCAAGTGCAGGTGCTCTCCATTTACCTCTTCCGCAAGATGATGGAGTTGGTAGTGGATGAGGGAAAAAAGCCCTTGAAGACAATTGTGAACCAGAGCCTGCTCCCCCTCTTCTTGCACTGCCATGAGGAGAACCAACACGTGGCAGAGGTGAGGTTTTCTGTGATGCTGCTGGATCCCTGGCAGGGGGCTTGGCTGCCTCGTGCCCTGGCACCTCATGGACTGCAGCCTCCTCCAGGACTTGGCACAGGGATGTGATTCCGGTGCCCTGGGCTGTGGGGCCATCTCTGGGTCTCTGCTGCTCTCCAGGCCTCTCGGGAAACGCTGCATTGTGCGGCCGGGTTCTTGGAGAAGACAGATCTCCAGAGGGTGATGAAGACGGAGCAGCCGTTGAAAATTGATGAGTGCCTGGTAAGGAAGGCCTGCAAACCCCAGCCTCAGCCTGGAAAAAGCCCCTGAGGGCGGTGCTCAGTGTGCTGGGCTGGCAGCTGTGCCTCTGCACGCTGATGCGGCCAGAGGCCGCGCGTGCTCTTCTCCAGGCTCCCGTGGGCCCCAGCCGGGTGCCCATGGAGCCCCGGCCCGGCGGGGCTGCGGGCCGGCACGGCGGCTCCCCGGGCAGCAGCCGGCCCTCTGCCCCCTGCCCTCGGGAGCCCTTGGCCAGCGGCTGCTGGCCGCGCCTCAGGCCTGTGCGGCCAGGGGAGGCCGGGGCTGGGCGCAGGCAGCGCCCGGCCCAGGGGCTGAGCCCGCGCCAACTCTTCCCTCCTGCCGCTCTCTGCAGCTGGCAGAGGACAGGAGCAGAGCGGCCGAGCACCTGCGCCGGGCCCTGCGCTACCTGCGGAGCCCACAGGAGCCCCTGCGAGAGGCGGCCGTCAGATTCATAGGTGAGCCACGAGCCCGGGCTCCCTCCCGGCCCAGCCCGCCGCAGCTCGGCCCCAGCCCCGCCTGCTGCCCCGGCAGCGCCGCTGGCAGGGAGCTGTGCCGCTGGGGCCGTGACAGGCTCTGTGTTCACAGGCAGCGCCGGGCGGTGCCGCAGGGGGAAGAGGGAAGAGCTCCGGGCCCACAGTCAGGGTGAGTGAGGACACCGGGCTGACAGCGGGGACTGCCCGGGACAGCTGCATTGCCCCGGCACGGAGCTGCAGTCCCTGGCCCGGCTGCGGCGGCCTTCGCTCCCTGTGTGGATGAGGGATGGCCTGGGCAGAGCACAGCGAGCGATTTCAGGGACAGTGGTGGGGGGGATTCATGGCCAGCGTCCTGCGGCTGATCCCGTTTGCCCCCTCCTCTCTTCTGGCCGATGCAAGAGCTGAGTGGGACAGCCCTGTGTAGTGGTTTTGGTTCACTAATTGATGATTTCCTGGCCAATGTTCCAATTAGTGTGGTAAGTTCCTTGCTGGTTAATCACCAGTTCATCCAGTAGAATGTAGTTAATAATTTTCTGCGTGAGATAGGATTAGGAGAAAGGCAAAGCAGGCTCCAAACTTTAAAAGGGTATGAAGAAAAATTTATTAACAGTAACTAAAAGAAGGAGTAATAAGAATCAGAACAAAACCTTCAGAACATTTCTCCTCCCCCTACAACTTTTTCTTTCCCACTGACAATGCAAAGGGACAAAACCAAAATTTTGAGTCACTTTACTACCTCTAGAATAGTCTCTCTTCTGCTCACTTAAGGAGAAAAGTCCCTCTTGTTAATGTTATGGAGATTTTCCACAAGAAAGCAGTTCTCTCGTGGCTCTCAATTTCCATGAACAGCAGCCACACTGCAGGGAAATCTGCAATTCTGAAATCGCTCCCATTTTCCACAAGCTTTTCCCACAGCTGTGTTTCTGTGCCGTGTCAACTTATGGGGTACTGTTCTAAAGATCAGCTGTTCAAAGGCAAAGGTTCTCTTTATCTATCTCTAAAATCATCTTCCATCTCTAGCAAGAGCAATCTTCTGTTCCTGGGGGCACAGGATCTTCATCACTCTTCTCTCCGTCTCTGTTCAAACTTGTCCTAGAATCATACCTTCATGTCTTATAGAGAAAAAAGTGTCCTTCTCCCTATATTTTCAAGAGGATTTCAGCCTAAAACTAAAGGCATCTCCTCCTCCCTCCCATCTGGGACTTGACTTCTTCACTGACCTCAGCCAGGCCTAGGCTGGGTCAGCTGTGTTACCTCTTTGTCGGCCACAAGGGAAAAGAGAAAGTTCCCAAGTTTATTTTGTTTGTAACATGTGTTTTTCACAGAGGCTTTCATGTACAGCTTTCCTGATTATCAGTTCCCAAAACCAACCCTTGATTGGTTTCCTATCAGACACGGAGGAACCTGCCAGCAGCCTCTCCCAAAACATCATGTCCGTGATGCACAAACCAGCACACAGTGGCAGGAGCGTCTCCTAGGATTCCTGCAGTTGTGGGTGCTGACTGTGGCTCTCTTCCTCTCTGTTCCAGCCATTTAAGTCCCAAGGAAAGACACTAGTCCATCCCACTGTAACCTGGATATTCACAGCCGATTTGCCAGAAGAGCTGAAGAATTAGGTGCCTCTTCAGGATCCGGTGAACCAGTTTCCCAAGAACAGCACCAGGAGACACTGAAGAGCAAACCAACTCCCACTGCCACTGGAGCTCCAGGCACAGCTGATGACTGGCACAGCTGAGCCTGTGAGAAGCTCCCGTAGCTCCTGCCGTCACCCTGCCTGTTGACAGCTCCCTCCCTCCAGCCCTCAGACCCTGCCCATTCCCTTTTCTTACCTCCCAGCTCATCCCTTTGCTTCGCTTTTCATTAATAAACAGTTTGGCTTTTTCACTTTGCCTGCATCTCTGTGGAGCTGAAGCAAATCCGGGACCCCGGGACACACATGCCCCTGCTGCCGTTCTCTGCCACGCTGTGTTTTGTGCACAGACCCAGAGGAACTGGGGCAGGTCAGGCTGGAAAGGTCCCTGTGCTGAAGGTGCAGTTCCAGAGCACCGTGCAGTTCCACATCTTGCTGAGCACACTGAAGGCCAGCAGTGGGACAAGGAGCCTGTGTGTGTCAGCACCAAAGTTGTGTCTAAGGCCCTGCCATATATGGTCCCCTGTTGTGCACATCAACGAGATAATGAATAAAACCAGGTTCAAAAACGCTCCTGGAAAGGCAAGATCCCGATTTTAGCAGCTTTTCCCACCTCCACATTGCAGGAATTCATGGGTCTGCTGGATAGGGAATGTTCATCCCAAATTTTCTGCCCACTTCTCTAGGAACACTCTAATGACAGTGGTGATGTGGTGATTCAGTCTTCTGAGGTTTTTTGGGATATTTTTTGGGGATTTCAGGGGGCTGGGATCCAAGGAGAGAGCAGGACAAAATCCAGATCCGGAAAATCCCATATAGCACTGGAAATGAGGAGAACTCAGTGGAAACAAGCACAAAGGAACTGGAAAAAAAAGTTTTTAAGAGGAAAAAATGGGGAAAAAGAAGGATAAAATTCCAAATTAATCCACTTGTGAAGAATAACCTGGAGGCACAATAGGAGAAATTCCAACACAACAGGTTACCAGGGCCTGGGAGGGCCCAAGTTTTTTTATTTTATTCAGGACCATTTTAGAGGGTTTTTTAAATGTTACTGGATTTTTTTCAAAGAGAATCCTACTTTTCCTTTTTGAATGGACTGGAAGTTGCCTCCTGTTCGTGCTGTGCTGGTTTTGTCCATCTTCATTCCTGAATTAAAAATTAAAAAATAAAAAAAACAGGAAAAGGATTTCAAAAAAGGAGAAATTTTAATATTAATAAGAATAATATTAATAACAATAAAGTAGTAATAACAATTGTAATAAATAAGTTTCAAGATTCTGAATATTTCTTTGTAGATTTTTTGGGAAATTAAAGTTTAGTGTTTTATTTTACAATTCAGAAAACTTTATTTTGCTATGTGTTATCCTGGAGATAAAAACTGCTTTGGTTTCATGGGTTGTTTGGTTTCTTCCCTTGAGTTGCTGGGAATTTTTAGGGTTGAAAATTAAAAGATGTTGAAAATTTTAAAAAAGGGTGGAGAGAAAGAAAAAAAAGGGGAAAGCAGGGAAAAAAGTAAAAAACAAGGGAAATTCTCTTAAAAATATAAAAAGCAAGCAAAGTATGAACAGTTACACTTTGTTTCCAATGTGCGCCTGAGTGCCTTGATTTTTCCATGTTTTTTGGTGCAGTCCTGAGTTGTAGAGTTGTCCGGACAGGATGCTGAGCTTGGTGGAGATTGTGGAGCTGCCGGAGCCATTCCCAGTTTTCCTTCCCACCTGTAGTATCCAATGCCATCACACATGTGTCCGTTTTGGAGCACCAAAGGTGCCATTTTTATAAATTCCCAACGCCCAGAATGACATGATTCCATGGGAATTTGTGAGGGGAACTGCAGGATTCCAAATTCCCCATGCCCAGAATGCTGTTATTCCATGGATTGCCAGTGTTGATGGGAAGTTGTGAGGGGAAACAAATGACTCTAAACTCCCAACCCCTAGAATGCTGTTATTCCATGGTATTCCAGTGTTGCCACCAAATGCAACCCTGGACCATCAAATCCAAATTTTAACCAATAAGTCCAACTGTTCACCACCAAATCCAGCCTCGGACCTTCAAGTCCAAACTCTTTCAAATACAAACTTTGACGGGATGGGATGGGATGGGATGGGATGGGATGGGATGGGATGGGATGGGACCAAGCTGGCTGCAGCCATCAGCACTTTGGCCCAGCTCTGCCATTCACTCTCCTGCAGTGGCTCAATGGCACCACCTCTTCAGTCTCCACTGCTGGGTCAGGTTCAGGCTCTTCTTCCTGCTCCTCCGCCCAGGCTATCTTGGCACTCTCGGGGGACTCTGCTCCCTAACTTTTTCATCCCTGTTCCATCCTGTCCATGGGAGTGTCCCTAGGGGATGGGATGGGTGTCAATAGGTGTTAATGGTGCTAATCTGGCTGCAGGCACCAGCCCTGTGGCCAAGCTCTGCCACTCACCCTCCTGCAGCACCTGGATCGGCACAACCTCCTCGGTCACCAGTGCTGCGTCAGGTTCAGGCTCTTCTTCCTGCTCCTCCACCGAGGCCAGCTTGGGCACTGTCAGGAGTCACTGCTCCATGTCACTGATTGGAATAATGGCTAATTGCAAGACAAATGCCTCCGGAAGGCGACGGGCCACCAAGGCCTGCAGCCCTGCCAAGAGGTCAGCTTCAGGAACAATGCCTCAGAAAAGCTCCGGGTGGGACACGAACGAACGCGCTGTGCGGGGGCTCCTCACGGCACCGCTCTGTCCCGTCCTGTCCCGTCGCGTGCTCCGAGCACTGTGGCCTGCTCTTGTCACCACCAGCTCCTTTGTCACCACACATCACAAAAGGCCCTTGGACACTCTGTCCCATTCCATTCCACGGTGACCGTGCTGCAGTGTGCCAGCCAGGGCCCTTGCACACACTGCCGCCTGCCCTGGGGCCGCCCCCAGCCCAGCTAAAGTGGCCCAGGCTGGAAGGAATGCCTGGCCCCAGGTGTCTAAGGCAGCCCCACAGGATCTTTAGGAAGGGCTCAGAGCATCAGCAAACGCTGCCCTGCTCTGCGGGCTCAGGGCAGCAGAAGGAGCCCCCAGGGCTGCCGACGCAGCCGCGCTGGGAAGGGCCCGGGGCCTTCCAGGGAAGCTGGCACGGCCTCCTTGGGACACGTCCCGGCCCGTGGCCATCCTAAACCCGCGGGTGTGACACGCACAGGGAACGTGTGGGCCCGGGCACGAATGCTGCTCTGAGCCCTGGGGCCCGGGCAGCGCTGACAGCAGCAGCTGTGGCAGAGTCCCCGCCCAAGCAGAGCTGCCACCCCCCGAGTCCTGGCAGCGCTGGTGCCCATCTCCTGCCCCAGGGACCTGTACCCCCGGGGGGCTTCTGTGCCACAGGGAGCCAAAGCACACCTGCATTGGGGGCTGATGGCCGGAGCACCTGGAGCAACTGCTGCCAACACTTGGTCTCTTTCAGAAGCTCTTACTCCGTGCTGGAATTATTTTCTCATTCTTCACTGCCTTCTCCCTTCCTCTGCCCCTCTGCCAAATGCAACGGGCCTCAAGGACTGAAAGGAGCACAGAGAGCCAAAGGTGACACTCGCAACTTCCTCACTGGGAGCTCCCTGGGAAGCACTTTCCTTGAGAAGCAAGCCCCTTTCGTCCAAAGGTGTTTCCCCAAATGTGCAGCTTTCCTGGGGAGCATCAACACACCCTTAAGAAACGCTGGCAAGGCTGAATGACTTCAGGTCCTTTCAGGACAGCCACTCCAGCTCTAGCTCCTTGTTGCCTTCTTGTGAAGGCCGCGATGACCTGGTTTCAGAGTCTGGCACTTCGATCTCCTTCGTGGGATCCCTTGTGGCCAATAACGGACGCTGACACCAATGTGGTGGACGGTTAAAGGCCTTTATTGAGGGGTCTTAAGGGTATTTATGGACTAAGGGGTCTCTCTACGTCAGACAGGGGTTTGGCTATACTTTCTAGGGTTAGTATGGAGTGGAAAGTTATTGGCATGCATAGGTTAGGGGGGCTACACGTCTGGCTACATTCCAAGGGTGATCCTTACCTATGGGGAGGGGGGTAGAAGGATTCCTGTAATTTTCCGTTACAGCCCGAAATCTTCCGAACGCCTGTCCCTGGCCTACCACACTTCCCCCCCCTCTTTCACAAATGAACGAGGTAGTCTTATACATAGGCACTAAAATGAGGTAGGAAGTTGAGATCTGACTAGGGAAAAGGGCCTTGGGAAACCTGAGTAAGTTTCTGCCAGGCAAGTCTCTCGTGACTGGCAGCGTTCCCTGTTGAGTTCACAGGAATTGTGGCTGTCCCACGAACAGGATGTTAGCCCGTTCTAGGCGGGCCTGAACGAATGAGACTAGCTTGTTCAGCAGGCATGGCCCGAAGGTAATAGCTAAAAGCAGCATTGCCAATGGACCTATTAGGGTAGAAATTAGGGTGGTTAGCCATGGTGATTGATTGAACCAGGATTCGAACCAGTTCTGTTGGGCTTCCCTGTCTTTCTGTCTCTGAGCCAGTCTGTTTCGGAGTTCTGCCATGGAGTCTCTAACGACTCCTGTGTGGTCAGCGTAGAAACAGCATTCCTCTTTCAAGGCAGCACACAGGCCCCCTTGCTGCATGAACAGGAGATCCAGTCCTTGCCTGTTCTGCAGGACCACTTCTGAGAGTGAAGAAACTGACTTTTCTAGAAAGGAAATGGATTTCTCGATCCTCTGCAGGTCCTCATCGATGGTCATCTGCAGCTGGGACAGTCCTTGGTGTTGAGTTGCTAGGGCTGAGACACCTGTTGCCGTTCCAGCCGCTCCTAGGCCGAGCAGCATTGCGATAGTTATACCTGTTAATATTTCTCTCTTGTGGAGCCGGTTGTTATTTTCGGAAAGGTGATACACCTCTTCGTCTGAGTGGTACAGGATCCTAGGGATGATCAGAACTTGAACACAAAAATCGTTAGAGTTATCGAATTTGGCAAGAGACACGCAGGGACTTACTCCAGATCTCTGGCAAACCCACATCCCAGATGTGGATGGGACTACCCACTTATTATTCTTCCTGTCGGGCTCAACTACTTCGGTGCAGATGTCGCCTTTCCGCTTAGCTAGGGTTGCATTGCCGAAGCATCTGCCCTGACCTGTGACTTGACTCAGGGTAATTCCTTTGCAGGGTGTGTCCCATCTGCACTGGCGAGGGGCATCGGCTGTGGAATAGCTGAAGGGGGTATCTAAGGCGACTCCTTCGTAAAAGAGGGGTTTAACATCGTAGCAAAGCCAGCAGGAAT